GGCTGAAGTCGGACGCTTCACCGACTGCGCCACCCAGGCACCCCGAGACGTGGTAAAGTTCTTGACAGATGCTGTGTGACCCTACCCTCCAAGTGTCCCCTGAGTGAACTACGTCCGAGGGGCCAGCACCTTCCAGCCATTCTGCACCTGTAATGGAGGCTGTCTCCAAATGATGAGGCAAATTCCACCAACCTCCTGCAGATGAAGAGGCAGGAGGCTAACGTGAGAGGCAGTGAAAAGAACGGTCTTTTCCACTTTAGCGTCAGATTAAATGAAGAAAACTCTGCTTTTTAATTAAGTAGGCCAATGTGGCCTAGAAACGCTTCACTTTTTTAAACCGTCATTATCTCTCACACAGAGAAACTTGCGACATGACGCCTGGCTGGCCCTTCTGGCCGCAAGCACCAGCCTTACTTTCCACCATTCCTCTGTTCTCCAGAAGGGGAGAAATGGGCTAACTTACCATTTACATCTTTCTCTGGAAACTTAAACGTGATTGATTTGATTCTACCTGCAATTCCAGTATTTTTAAACCCTCTACCTTGGATCAATTCTAGAAATAATGCTAAATGTGAATCTGAAACTAGAAATAAAATCCACCCCTGCCCCCCCGCCAATTTGTAGATGGAAAGAAAAGTTTAGCCTAATCCCACTGGCAGCAGGCAACCGCGGAACGTCCCCACGGAAGAGCGAGGTCACGGGACGACCCAAGTGGGCTATTGGCCCGGGCCCCAGTTAGACTAAAGGGAACAGGGCTCCAAGGGTGTGTTTCTTCGAGTGACCTGAACATTGAATATCTATCATCCATTCTGGCTGGGATGGCGAACGAGCCAGCCACTTAGGATAGGCCATGAGCCACGGGTCTAAAAAAAGAAGAAATCTCTACTGTTGCATATTTTTTATAAATGCTTAAAAAGCAGCAAAACAGCTGTTGCTGTCAGTAGCCCACACAGAAAAGGTGCAGATGAACACACACTCCACTGTGCGTTGCGGGGGGGGGGGCTCTGCCTCTGGATGGGGTATCACACCGGCAGCTTCTCTGCTGTTGGCTGCACGGCTGGGACCCAGGTCTCTGGGAGGATCAGACAGGGAAATGGAGGGCAGGTGTGCAGGGCAAAAATCCCTGTTCCTTGGCATTCAGAGCCTGTAACCTCCTCCCTTCGAGTGTGGCCCGGACCTTGTAACTTGCTTCTAACCGACAGAGTATGTAAAGGTGATGGATGGACAGTCTAGCGATCAGATTATAAAAGACTGTGACTTCCGACTTGCTGGTTGACTCTCCCCTTGCTGGCTTTGATGAAGAAAGCAGCCCTGTTGGCAAGATCCAGCAGCAAGGCCTTGAGGGAAGCTTCTAGCCAACAGCCAGCGAAGAACGGACGCCCTCCCTCCAACAGCCCTTGAGGAACTGAATTTGCCAACAACCGTGAGAGCTTGGAAGCAGAGCCTTCCCCGGTCAAGCCTTTGGATGAGACCCCACCATGGTGAAGCCCTGACTGTGGCCTTGAGAGCGAGCCCGAAGGAGAGGATGCAGTAAACCGGGTCAGGTTCTGACCCACAGAGACTGTGCAATAGTAAGTGTGTGGTGTTCTAAGCTGCTGACTTTCGGGGTGAACTGTTATACGGCAGTCGACGCCGAATGCAGCAGGCGATTCAATGACGGGGTTAGCCTCCTGATGCAGGCTGCCATCGCGGCATCGGGCCGTTCCCTCCTCGGCAGCCACCACGACATCTGCCACGAGACAGGCAAGGCCTCACTTCTCCAAAAAAGTGCCAGCCCCCAGAGGGTAGGCACTGGATGGACCTTCATCTTTCACAGATATGTATATGCTCAGCCCCCAGCACCATGCCCAACATGTGGTCAGGGTTCGAGAAAGGACCAAATGGACCAACTCTTCCTGTTGAGGACTAGAAAGGCAAGAGTATTCACAATAAACAGAGTATTTGGGAGAGGGGAGGGGAGAGGAGAGGAGGGGAGAGAGGAGGCACAACCTGGGACTACTTGAAATGGCCGTCTCGTGGCCCGTAAGTCTTGTAAAGGCAGGCCGACTTTTGGCTGGGTCTAGAGACAAGTTGGGCAGGTCCTGCTTTGGCTCAGCTGTCTGAATCTGGGCAGCACCATGGCCCTCCCCACTGAGAGGCTCGCCTTATGGCACTTGTGTCCTCGGAGGTACAATCGAGAACTGCAGGAAGAAAGGGACGTGTTTAGGAAAGGTGATTCCACCCTCCCAACCAGAGAACATGTGGTCTTTACCTCTGCTCTCACTGTTCTCCCTGCTCGCAAGGCTTCTTCCTCTCAACCACACTCCATCTCTGTCGACTTGCCAAACTCCTACTCAGCCTTCAAAACCCAGCCTGGCTTCAGCTCCTCCAGAGTAACTCTTCTAGACCTCCCCACTAGGAGCTCATTCCCTCTTCTGGGTCACTTCTCAGCCTCCCTCTTGCTCTAGTTGAAGTCACAGACCTTAACAACCACAGCCGTGCCTGTCCTGCAACCAGCCGTGGGCTCCCATGCCCGGGGCCCAGGATGGGGCAGGCACACGCTGAACAAGACCAGACCCACGCCACACCGGTCCCCACCCCTCTATGCCCAGGGAGTGACACGATGTCGCAGCGCTCACTCCCGTGGCCCCTGAGCCTGAGACACAGCGTGACCTCCCCCAGAATGAGGAACTAGGGAGAGTGACAGGAAGACATTCAGTGCACAGGAAGCATACTCTTGAGAGAATGTTCCAGCCTTGGGAGCTGCGGCTGGAGGCGGTCTGGGGGAGGAAGGCAGAGCAGCTGTGAAAACACCTCAGTGGGCAGTGAGGGGTCACTCAGTCATGGAGCCTTTCCTCCCGAGGCTGACAGTTACATAATCATGTCTACACGAGCGCACCTCCGGTTTGTGTCAACTGCTCTCTGGCTGGGGAGGAGGCTAGGCAGCCCACTCCCTGAGCAGAAGGGCCGATCCCTGCCTCCCAACTGTGGGAACCAGCAGGTAGGATGTGGCGAGCTGCTCCGAGGTCAGCGGCCGCCTCGGAACCAGACAGGGTGGCTTCCCGAGGAGAAGCACAGAACCAGAGTGGCGGCATCCGGGGCACAAAGATGTGCCTCGTGACGCAGCACGAGGAGGGCCTGCCGCAGCGCAGACAGAGGGGGACAAGCCAGCGCTCCTCTGACCAGGCCACGGTCAGAGCTGCAGGGGCCATTTCGAGAGCTCCGCCAAAGGGACACAGAGATAAATGCAGGGAGTGACCAGGGCAGGACTTTAAGGCAAGTCCTCCTGGGGGCGAGAATGTGAAACAAAAGCAGCAGGTGTAAGACTGGATGTGCAGACAGTTGTGTGTACACACACACACACACACACACACACACACACACACATCTGCCTAGGTAAGCTGGTGGGAGACTATTGCTGCTTTTTGTAACAGTTTTCCTTTATAGCTTTCCAGTGTATTTCCTAAAATTTCCACAACAAGCACATCTTATTGCTATCCCTGGCAAGGACACGAGGCCCCGGATGCATGCCATCCAAGAAAGATATTAGGGGGATATTAGTTTCGACCGCAACCTGTGGGCCCGTGACTGCGGGATTTTTATTCTTTGGGATTTCTGAAAGCTCCAAGTCTGAAATCCTGGCTTCAGCAGGGCGGGTTCCCGCTGGGGGTGCTGAGTGAGGGGCTGTGCCAGACCCGTCGCCAGCTGCTGGCGGTGGTCGGCAATCCTAGGTGCTCCCAGGCCTGCGGACGCGTCACTCCAATCTCCGCCTCTGCCATCACGTGGTGTCCTCCCTGTCCCTGTGTCCAAATTTCCTCTTCTCACAAGGGTATCAGCCACCGGATTAGGGGCCACCCGAGTCCAACAGAACCTCATTTTAACTCGAGTCCAGCCGCAAAGGCCCTGTTTTCAAACAAGGTCACCCTCAGACGTATGGGGGCGGTTAGAACTTCAGCACCTGCTTGGGAGAGGCATAACCCCGCCCATAACAAGAGACGCGGAGCCCAAAGAAAAGCGAGACACCAAAGGCCCTGGCTGTTGTCTTCCAATGTGGCAGGCGCTGCCATTTGGGGAGCATGACACTTGGTCTGTGCGACTCTGTGGGGAAGAAGCGGATCCAAAGTGCGGATACTCCTACAAGACAGATCTGACTTCACAAGAGGAAGAATAGTCTCACGGAGCTGGACTGGTCATCACAGGGCTCGAGGACTCCCACTCCAGGATCCTGGACCAGCCTGCGGGCCCCTCGTCTCTGATGTGGTGATACTACGGGGACCGCTGGGCTAAGTATCCCAGAAGCCCTGAGCTTCCGCCGTCCACGCAGGCTTTGGTGCGATCGGAGCATCGCCAGTGCCGGCCCAGCCCCGCCGTTCAGTATCACGCCAGCTGTGCCTCAGTCACACGGGGCGACCCCGGCTTTCTACAACAAAGCAGCCCTGCCTGTCATTTTTCTTCCTTTTGGTCTTTTGAGGAAAGCTGGAGACGGAACACTCAGCGGAGCTGACGGGGTCGTGACACAAGGAATCGCGGGAGCTAAAGCGCTCGGCAAACCCCGACGCCCCTGATTCCAAGGGGGTTTCACGTGCCCTGACGGTACCCAAGGAAGGGCCCACGTCCCCAGGCCAGAGGCAGACGGCCCAAAGACCGTGGTCAGACTAAGAAAACAATCCACAATTTGTTTAGACCCAAGGAAGACTGCACCAAGAATAACATTTACACAAGAAAGAGCAGTAACGTTGCAAGTTAAGCTTGTTTATTTAAAAAAAAAAAAAAAAAAAGAGGCAAGATCTTGCTCATGATGAAAAGGCGGGTCTTTAAAACTGCCTCTTCACCCCCAAATGCATGAAACCCAAACCGCTCACCTCTCCACGGGGTCCCTGAGCATGACAATCAGTTTTGCGTCTGGCTGAAAGGCATGGATGAAGTCCTGGGTCAGAAAGGGCGGCTCTCCATCCGTGCTGTTGTCGTAGAAGAACGTCCAGGCGTTGTTGTCCCACATGGTGGACGCGCTGGCCTCCCCTAGAAACAGAGAACGCCGCAAATGAGCGGTGCTGAGTTAGGGGCTCCCGCGGGGCAGCCTGTGCTAGGGGCCAAACTGGGCTCCGATCGATGCCTTCCCCTCAACCAGCCATGATGGGTGAGCTGGTCTACCACCACCGGCGCAAGGGACTCCAGGAAGAGTCACGACCCTCTTCCACAGCGACTTCCCCTGCTTCCCCCCAAAGGCCTCCATCTGGAAATCCAGGTGATCTAGGCACCACGGAGCATCCGCTCCTCCCCAGCTCTTCTCCAGGATGTGCCAAAAAAAACCCTCTGCCAGCATCTGGCCTCCCAATTTCACGATGTTTGACTCTGCTCACGGCACACAGCTCTGTGGCATTTGAAGGGCCCACTGAGAATGTACTAGATCGTTTCCTTCCCCAAGTGCCAGGGATGGAAGAGTAGTTTAGGGAAACAGAGCCTCTTCAGGAAATTAGATGGCAATCAGCATCAGGTTTTTTTGTTCAATCACAACGGCCGGTCCGGGGCACTCTCTGAGACCAAACGAGAGGAAGGCTGTGCGGAGAAGGCTCACGGGACCTCAGTCTCAGGTGCTGCGTCCGACGGGCCCGCCACCCCATCGCCCCGCACACAGCTGGCATTCACTCAGTACTGACTGGGTAGACGGCCCGCCGGCCCGGCCCTGGTTTTACGATGGTCCGCACGGACGGAGGAGGAAACGTTCAACACGCATTCTAAAACGGGGAGGAGGCCAAGGCACGCACATTTCCGCGTCTCCCTCTCCGACACTTGAACCAGTTCCCTGACTTTTTTTTTTTTTAGCAGAGTCTTCAGAGATTTCAGAAGAGACGCAAATCGATCCATTACATACCAATTCAATTTCCCAACATTTTACATGGGTACTTGATACATCTCAAAATCACTTATTCAGGGAAAATCTGAGCCAAAAGACGAGTTTCTTTGATCGGGGATGAGTGCGTCACAAAGATGTGGGGAGTTGGCAGGGCCCTGGCTCTTCTAGGATGTTCAGTCACATCCAGGTGAGCATTTCTGTGCTAGTCTTTCCTCTCTTTCAAGATGATACCGTACAATACGGGCAAGGCACGCCCGTCAGAAGTCCTTTGAACGTTCTACTCACAACGAATATGAGAATATTACAACAAGGGAAGTATCTAAAACCAAAGTGGCACAAATTCGGTCAGATCTCATACATAAACCAGCTCTGCAACCAGAGAAACATCTGTCCCTCCACCCGTCTGTCCGTCCGTCCATCCATCCATCCATCCAGAAAACACTCATCTAGTGTCTCAAAGTGCCTGGCAGTGTGCTTGGCATTAGGGACAGAGAAAGGAAACGGGACAGACAATCCCCTGCCTTCTCCTCTCTTACAATCTAGGGGAAGACTCCATCAACAACTCCACCAACAGTCAGATCCCCAGCTGAGCACTTTGTCAGGGCAGAGCAGAGGGAGGGGCCTGCCTTTCCGTGTGTCTGGAGCCCCACCCCTGAGAATCTGGTCACTGGAATCCCTTGTGACTCCAGCCATTGGCCCAGACCACTGAGGAAAGGCTCTCTCTGACCCGTGAGCAGGGGTGAAGGAAGACACTTATGCTCTACCAAAGACCTAACCCGAGGAAGCTGAAGCAGAGCTGAATCGCATTTCAGGGCTCGCAGGAGCCAGAATGGATCTGGTCCATTCTGTCCCATAGTGCAGATGTGCCGACTAAAGCTCAGGAACGCCAAGACCGACTCGTCACACGTCTCAGAGCCGGCTGGTGGCACAGGCAGGCCTTAGCCGCCAGCTTTCCACCTGCCTCTCCACTACCCTGAAACTCATCAAACTCTGTTCTAGGTAAGTATCAGAGCAGCAAACTTCTTCCTTAATTTTCCTTTTTAAATCTGGAAGTAAAATTAGAAAACCACACTAAGGCTTTCCTTTTTCATTCATTATCTTAGGCTCTATTTCCTAGCCCTAGGATGTGTATTTTTAGCTCTTTCATAAGAACATGAGATTCTCCCAGAGGCATACGGTGTAGGAGTCACAATCAAATATTAATTCGACTTGTGAGCTGAGGTGTGTGGACCCAAGGCCGGAAGAAAGTAGCTAGCAGCCGATTCGCACTACTGGGGTGGGGGGCGG